ATGGTCAGCGTGAGACACCTTATATATTTTTTACTTATAAAAATTCTTACATATGTTACCCAATGTTAATATAAAGCAAAAGAGGTTCTCAATTCGGCTATATTATCCTTTTATGCGATTTCTTTGCCAATTATGAACCGATTTTAATTCCCAACAGTGGTTTCATATAAATTTGAAAAAAAATATTCCACCTCTTATAAGTGGAATATTAGGAGATGATTTTCCACCTTTTAATTAAAATTTTTACATATCATCAATCTTTTGAAGTTGGTTTATATGTAATATAATGTAATATACGTATTTAAATTATTGAATTGTATTTTCTATTTGCATGTTTCTTTTCTTTATATAGAATCATATTTTATCAACAATGCGCTATGAGCAGATGAACAGCTATTCGGGATGAGATGGATGTAGATCGTTCCACATGAAGCTGTGAGGTAGGTCTTCAATTTATTTTTATCTTTTTATTAGATTATAAAATTTTAAATGTCCATTGATTTCTTAGTTGGTGTAGTATGGAACAGTTTGTAATATTAAAGAAATACGACCGCTTTACTTTTTAATGTTTCAGTTTATTTAGAGTTTTACACTATATTTGTTTGTCAAGGTTACTAAATACTCTTGATAAAGTCGAAAAAAATTGTAGAAACATTAAAAAGCAAGGTGGTCTTATTTCATTTAAATTTTAAATGTACATAGTTATATATGAGTAATTAGGTAATTTGTAGATAGCAAAGGGGGTGCGGTTTATTTTTAACTACTTAAAATAATTTTAAAGCGGGTTGTTTCTTATTTACAAAAAATATGCGTAATATTTATGATGGCTGGATCTTTTTTTAACATAATTGCTTACTTACTAGCTAACAGAAATAAACTAGCTATGTATGATGAAAGTGTTGAGCACTATGTCCATTAAAAACGAATAAGTTAAAAATATAGCATTGTTTGAAATACTGTATTGAAAGTATAAATACAAATTGCATAAAACTTAGTTGTCTTTTGGCATTTAATAAGACCAAAAAATTTAGCAGAAGTAAACAAATATATTCACTCTAATACGTATTACTTTTACGAAAATTCACTGCAAAAAACCATGTCCTTGTTTAAGATGAAGAAAAAGCAACATTAAAACACAAACATATAATTTCCTATTTCGTATATTTTTCTTTCTTTATTTACAATTAGCCATATTTTTTATTCTTCGTCCTAATCTAGAACACTCTAAAAAGCTAAAACGCGAACGCCAAAGCACGACAAGATCTTTTTTGTTACTGAAAAATACTTCGGACGCTTAATGTCTATTTTGATGTTGGGGTTTGAACTTTTTAGAGTGTTCTACTACATCGAATTTTACCTTACAAAAGTAAACCGTCTTAAAACTGCATCAGTTTTATAACTCATCATCAAACAGATACATTACAATTTTAAAAATATAATATTTTAATTTATTATCATAACAACAAATTACACAAACAGAATCCTCTCTCTCTCTGCTTGTCTCCTTATTTTTTTTTTTTAGCTTAAAATTCTTCATTATGACGTATGACTTGTGCTCTCTATCCCTATCATATCACTGCAATCCTTATACTGTTTATTTTCATCACTTTATTTTAAAACATGCCTTAACTCTTGTTCATTCTTCTGCATATCTTACATTTTTTCCTTTATCTTTCAACTAATACTTATTTTCATTGCTGTAATTATTTGCCCCTTACCAATCTTCCCAAAGTCCCTGTTTTATCCCTTCAGCATATTACGACTTCTGTATTTTTCGTAAATCTTCCCTTCTTGTTACCGCATTATACCGTGTTCTTATAATTTTACTAACATTCATTCCTTTTCTTTCCTATTCCTTCATATAAATAAATCCTCCAAAACTTTTTTATTTCCTTACCATCTGTGATTTTCCTACTAAAACCCATACTTGGTTTCTGCACATCTTTTCTTATATGTCCTTCTCCCAAACTTTCCAGCTTTTATTCATATCTAAATTATCTTCTTTTCTTTTCTTCCACCATTTCTTCACATTTTGTCTCCCTTCTTAGAATGAAATCCGTTTAATATGTAATATATATAACACTCTTCACTACCGTGTCGGAAACCTATAGCTATTTTCTACATACCTAAAAGATATTAATCTACCTATAATGTAAAAAAATGATAAAAAAATCACGTCTTTTCCATCCTTATAGGCAATCGCAGTCCTACCCCCTTTATTGCTTGTACCAAACCCTTTGTTTTTTATTATACTTTTTAACAGGATGAGCCCATCATTACTCCCACTTAATATTCCCTTACAATCATCCAAATTTTTAGTTTTTCCACATTCACCCAGCACATGCATCATTGTTTCATCTCCCGTTTCATTTATTCTACATACCTTTTCCTTCATCCAATACCTACATTTTCTATTTTTATTTCCCACTCTAAATCTTGCTATTACGTTTACATCCTTCATTCTATTCAAATAATCTAATGTACACTGTTCCTGCGAATGTTTCAATGGCAGAGCATTCATTCATTCCATATATCTCGACTTATCAATACATCTTTGATTTTCATCTCTCACACCTTATCCTCACAATTTCTCCATTTATCCAATTGTTCCTGATTCAACTTTAAATCGGTTAAAGCTTCACCCCTTTCTTTGTCATACTTGTTTTTTGCTTCAATTTTTAAAATCCTTTTCCTCTACAATTCCATTCTTATATCCACATCCCTTAGCTTTTGTAGTTTTATATCGTATTTTACCACCATTTTCTTGGTTTTCTCTACCATCTTCCCTCTGTGCTACATATCCCAATGTATTTACGTCCAATCTCAAAAGTCACTTAATATACTTCTTGTAAATGTTTTCCTCCTGTTTCGGCTCCTTCCACCCCGAAACCTCTACCTTATAAAGAGCTACCGTATTGAATAAATTTATTCTTCTTTCCCAATCTTTTTTGCATAATTTTTACCCTAAATCTTTTTAAAGTGCTCCTACAACTTTGGTACTTCTACTTTTTCGCAGCTATCTCCTTCTCCTTTCTTTTTTTATACATATTCACAATTTCTACACCCTTTGCCTGATGAATTTCTTTACTAACTGATTATTATATATTCTTTTGTACTTTTTATTATTTGTTCTCTATACTTAATCATTTTTCCTTTCAAAAAATTTGACCAAATTGCACTAAATAAATGTTCTTTTGTGAAGGAAAAGTTTTCAGACTTAAAGACAACAAATAAAAAAAATAATTCACATTGTTTTTAAAAAAATATAATTGAAATAAGCACAAAATTTTATCAAACGTTGTTAACTTTTTCCAATATTTCTTTTATTTGTGAACTATACATTTCTTGGAATAATTTTTAGTAATGCATTTTTACATGAACTTATTTAAATTGCAATAACCCCATATTTAGGCATGTTTTTAAAATTACATACCTAACGCTTGCAAACAAAAAAACGACAATTAAAATTTATACAAATTTAATACACACCCGTTTGTAACGTGTTGTATAAACGAAGGAAAAAGAATCGGGAATGGGAGCGGCATGGTTACGCAAAAGGAAAATAAAGCTCCGGCAAAAATTCTTCCCGGAAAAAATGCTCCAGGAAAAAATGCCTCATCGACATAAATCTCCGGAAAATTATTTTAAACAAGGTCTTATAATTTCTTAACAAATTTTTAAATACCAGAAGCATGAAGCATTTAAATTAAGTTCAACCATTTATATACAGTGTATTAAAGAAATACGACCGCTTTACTTTTTAATGTTTCAGTTTATTTAGAGTTTTACACTATATTTGTTTGTCAAGGTTACTAAATACTCTTGATAAAGTCGAAAAAAATTGTAGAAACATTAAAAAGCAAGGTGGTCTTATTTCATTTAAATTTTAAATGTACATAGTTATATATGAGTAATTAGGTAATTTGTAGATAGCAAAGGGGGTGCGGTTTATTTTTAACTACTTAAAATAATTTTAAAGCGGGTTGTTTCTTATTTACAAAAAATATGCGTAATATTTATGATGGCTGGATCTTTTTTTAACATAATTGCTTACTTACTAGCTAACAGAAATAAACTAGCTATGTATGATGAAAGTGTTGAGCACTATGTCCATTAAAAACGAATAAGTTAAAAATATAGCATTGTTTGAAATACTGTATTGAAAGTATAAATACAAATTGCATAAAACTTAGTTGTCTTTTGGCATTTAATAAGACCAAAAAATTTAGCAGAAGTAAACAAATATNATGTATTAGGTTAATCGCTCGATAGGCCCCCCATTTAGCTGTAAGCAATTGTTTACCCTTCCGGTAAACTCATGTGTAACAGCTCGAACCTTTAAAATAATACATTTAATTATAATCAGCTAATACCGTTAATTATTTAATTTTATTTATTGTTTAGTTGCCTTTTTCTAATTATGTTTATTTAAAGTTAACCAAAGCCGCCATTAAGTATCTAACACCCTGTACTTAATTAACCCACTGAAAGTATTGAAGGAATGTTCGAAGGTATAGCTATATTCCCTGAGAATAATGTTGTTCTAGCTTTCTTACTGTAGAGTGGACATGCTTTTTTTGCTATCTACTGCATTGTGCTACTTTTTTCGAAAAAGTTAATATCTCGAGAACGTTTAATTTAAGAAATAGAAAAGCCTTATAAATGTTAACCTATAATCAAAAGTAAATTCAAAATGTCATAATATATAGGGTGTTCCATTTAAAAGAACGAAGTTGATGTCAACTTCCGGTATAATCGGAAGTGCTACATAGATGCCGTTGTTTTAATTGAGAAGAGCATACCCAATAATTCTATTGTCATAAGTTTCAAAATTCAAACTGAAGTAGTTTCCGAAATATTCTAATGGATGGTCAGCGTGAGACACCTTATATATTTTTTACTTATAAAAATTCTTACATATGTTACCCAATGTTAATATAAAGCAAAAGAGGTTCTCAATTCGGCTATATTATCCTTTTATGCGATTTCTTTGCCAATTATGAACCGATTTTAATTCCCAACAGTGGTTTCATATAAATTTGAAAAAAAATATTCCACCTCTTATAAGTGGAATATTAGGAGATGATTTTCCACCTTTTAATTAAAATTTTTACATATCATCAATCTTTTGAAGTTGGTTTATATGTAATATAATGTAATATACGTATTTAAATTATTGAATTGTATTTTCTATTTGCATGTTTCTTTTCTTTATATAGAATCATATTTTATCAACATTGCGCTATGAGCAGGTGAACAGCTCTTTTCGTTGTGTGCAGAAAAATTCGGGATGAGATGGATGTAGATCGCTCCACATGAAGCTGTGAAGTAGGTCTTCAATTTATATATTTTTATCTTTTTATTAGATTATAAAATTTTAAATGTCCATTGATTTCTTAGTTGGTGTAGTATGGAACAGTTTGTAATATTAAAGAAATACGACCGCTTTACTTTTTAATGTTTCAGTTTATTTAGAGTTTTACACTATATTTGTTTGTCAAGGTTACTAAATACTCTTGATAAAGTCGAAAAAAATTGTAGAAACATTAAAAAGCAAGGTGGTCTTATTTCATTTAAATTTTAAATGTACATAGTTATATATGAGTAATTAGGTAATTTGTAGATAGCAAAGGGGGTGCGGTTTATTTTTAACTACTTAAAATAATTTTAAAGCGGGTTGTTTCTTATTTACAAAAAATATGCGTAATATTTATGATGGCTGGATCTTTTTTTAACATAATTGCTTACTTACTAGCTAACAGAAATAAACTAGCTATGTATGATGAAAGTGTTGAGCACTATGTCCATTAAAAACGAATAAGTTAAAAATATAGCATTGTTTGAAATACTGTATTGAAAGTATAAATACAAATTGCATAAAACTTAGTTGTCTTTTGGCATTTAATAAGACCAAAAAATTTAGCAGAAGTAAACAAATATATTCACTCTAATACGTATTACTTTTACGAAAATTCACTGCAAAAAACCATGTCCTTGTTTAAGATGAAGAAAAAGCAACATTAAAACACAAACNCTTGTGATATAAAAAACTATTTTAAAGGTAGCTATTTACATTTTTTATTTGGAGTGTACTTTTTTACAAAAGTTTTACATTTAATATTTTAAATTTAATTAAGCAATCTGTCGTTGTACACATATTTTGTATCGTCACCATCTTCAAATCTACTCCTAGGCACTAAAAACATAAAAGCTTATGATGTTTGTAAACTGTAACTAAAATAGACGCAGGTTTATAAGGTTTTAAAATTATTAAATAGGTATTTGATTTTGTAGCAGCATCATTTATTTTCCTCCCAATTTCGTGATGGAGCCGAATGAAATGCCTGTTTCGTGTTAGGATCGATGGCGATGGACTAGTCGAGTGCGGAAAAAACGGTGTGTTTTTTTTTTAATTTTTTAGAGTTGATTTAGGCATTTTTTAATTTTCTTATTATATTCAAATGTATTTCAACATTTAACCTTATTTAACACATGGTAAACGTTACCTTATTATCTACTCTATGTTCTACAATACACGCTTCAAATTGACTTTTGGTCTTTCATTACTTTAGTACTGAAAACTAATGGCAATTTTTACATTTATAAAATTTTAATACTTTAGGAATTTACATTTTCCTGTAGTTCAAACAAAATTTTAGTCTGTCGTCAATTGCGTAAACTACTGCATTGCAAGTGTGTAAAATATGAAGAAATTCATACTTTGCCTGCTCTCTGATAAGTTTACAAATATTACACGTATATATTTAAAAAGAAGCTCGATTCGCTAAAATTTGATTTTTTAACTCTTGAAACATACTTAAATCGGGTGTCAAATGCATAACTTTCAAAGACGCAAAATGACACCGTTTATGTGAAATTTAAAAGCATTTCTGACAGGTACTTATACAAGTTGTATGCTGATACTTTAAAATTTAGAAGTAAACTTTAATTCCAACTTAAAATAAACCACCATAGTTACCTTAGCAATTTATAATATTATATTATATTATATAATACTGGTCTAGTATGAAAAGAAGCCAATTATAAATTTTATGTGAGAATACTTGTTTGATGTACGTGTGTGTTATTTTTTGTTGATACAGTGATTACTCATATTCTCTAATCTTCCTTATTGCAGCAGCTATAAATAATTTTCTATCTAAAGAATATTTATTATTCAATTGTTACCAAAAGCGTACGTTATATTAAATCCCTTCTTTCATCGTCAATTTGATATTTAAAATGTGTATGCCGGTTATTCAAAGATACATTAGCTACTTTTAACTTTTTACAGGACACAGTTTAGCTCAATTGCCACATTTTTTTTTGAAAAGGAAATCAGTTCATGGATTTCCTACAAGTAATAAGTGATAGAAAGTTTCTTTCCTGGATAAAAGAGGACCATTCGAATACAATCTTGTAAAGTAAGTTCTTTTTTTGTATGTATTTTCAGTTATATTATTTTCTGTCCACTTAGATGAACAAAATAAATTAGTTTAAAGCGGAGCTGGATTCTTTCTATCAGTAAATTATACTTTGTTACTACTTTTTTTATTAAGACAGATTTCTTTGACTACGAAATTAATTAATTTTAATTGATAAATACATTCTAAAATATTTCAAAATAACAATTTTTTCAACAATTTCACCTGTTATCTGTAATAAACAGTTCCTATCATACCTATACTAC